GGTGCGGGGCCGGAACACAGCTCCCGGCCCCGACGCGATTCCAAACCGGGTGTGGGGGTTGGTCCACGACCTCGCCCCGGAATGGATAAGCGCCGTCGCTAACCGCTGCCTCGCGGAGGGTGAATTCCCCACGAAGTGGAAGAAGGTCAGGCTGGTGCTCCTGAGGAAGGGTGACAAGCCCGAGGGTCTCCCCTCGTCGTACCGACCGCTATGCATGTTGGACGACCTGGGGAAGATCCTCGAGCGGCTGCTCGTCACCCGAATCGAAGCCCACCTGGCCTCAGTTGGAGGACTGGCCGAGGGCCAGTTCGGTTTTAGGAGAGGGAGGTCGACGGACGACGCGGCCTCCCTCTTTAGGGACCTGGCCCTCAGAGCCGAGAACGGACCGGGCTTCGGGGTGGCGGTGAGCCTGGACATCCGGAACGCGTTCAACTCCGTGCGATGGTCACACATCCTCGGAGCGCTGGACGCGTTTCGGGTGCCTCCGTACCTCGGGCGGATGATCCGGTCGTACTTCGGCGACCGGGTCATCACATACGAGAGCGCCGCGGGCCCGAGAACCAGACCTGTGACGGGAGGCGTCCCGCAAGGGTCGGTTCTCGGGCCTCTGCTGTGGAACATCGCGTACAACGCGGTGTTCCGCGTTCCGCTACCACCGGGCGTGCGCATCGTCTGCTATGCGGACGACACGCTGGTGGTGGCGGAAGGCGCCTCGTCCGAGGAAGCTGGATCCCGGGCGAACTGCGCTCTTAGCGCAGTCACCGCCTGGATCCAGCAGGAGGGGAGCGGACTGAGCCTCGCCCTGGACAAGACCGAAGCGGTCCTGTTCACGGGCAGGTACAAGTTCGCTCCTCCTTGGCTCACCGTGCTGGAGGTGGACGTCCCGCTTAGGGATTCCATGACGTATCTGGGCCTGGTCTTCGACAAACGTCTGATGTTCGGGCCGCACATCACTCGTGCGGCCCAACGGGCCCAGAAAGTCATGGACAGCCTGGCGGGGCTCATGCCCAATCTGGGAGGACCGAGGGAAATGCGGCGCAGACTGCTCGTCAGCGTCGTTCACTCGGTCCTCCTGTACGGGTCCCCGGTCTGGGCGGATACCCTCGAGTATTCGGCCAGGAACCGCGAAGCCCTGCTTCGGGTGCAGAGGCGGGCGGCGATCCGGACCGTGTCGGCTTACCGAACGGTCTCCGGAGTGGCGGCGGGAATACTGTCGTCACTGCCGCCCGCCGACCTGCTAGCCGCGGAACGGGCCGCCGGACATGAGCTCCGCCGAGAGCGCGACCGACCCCTCGAACCCGAGGACCGGTTGGCGCTCCGGCGGACCACCATGCTCCGGTGGCGGGCTCGCCTCTCGGAGGAAACGAAGAGAGGCGAGTGGACCAGGTCCCTCATAGGACCCGACCGCCTGGAGAGGTGGGTGGCCCGGACACACGGTGAGATGTCTTACCGTCTCACGCAAGTGTTGTCCGGCCACGGCTGCTTCAACGAATACCTTCACGGTATTCGGAGGGCAGCCGCGCCGACGTGCGACCACTGCCAGGATCGCCCGGGAGAGGCAGACAACGCTCTGCACACCCTCTTCCGGTGCGAGGCGTGGGCCCAGGAACGGGACTCGCTGGAGTCCCGTCTGGGGTCCACGATCCGCGTCGGGTCCTTGGTGGACCTGATGTTGGGAAGCCGGGAGGCGTGGAGGCTTGTCCAGGCGTTCGCGGAATCCGACCTGAAAAGGAAGGAGGAAGCCGAACGCCTGAGGCAGCGGCTGCCACGCCGCCCGGTACAGGAGGACCTAAGGCGCTGGTTTAGGCCGGCGCCTTAGGTATAAGTGTGTCTATGTTTATATGTTTGTGAGTTATTATGCCCCCTTCGCAAAGTCCTGCCCCCACCTCCACGTGGTGCAACCCGGGCAACGGATCCCGACTTTTGGGATCCGGCTAACGGGGGAGGCCACACCACGTTGTGAATCAGCTCTTGATTAATTTCGGGCTGATTCACAACGTGGTGGTGTGAGTTTTAGAGACGGCGTGGGCCGCCCTGAGGTAATACCTAACGGTAGTTCCGGGGCGGTCCGCATGTAGGCCGGTCGTGTTAAAAAAAAAAAAAAAAAAAAAAAAAAAAGGGTTACATCATCGTTCCCCCTCCCATTGTATTATGTTAGTTTACGTTGGATTTACTCCCCTCCACCCCTCTTCCCATTACCACGAAGATAGGGTGGGTGGGTGAAGCAGAGAGGGCCTAGAACTCTCTATTTTACCCTACTGGAGTTCGACGGACGACGCAACCTCTCTCTTCAGGGATTTGGCCCTCAGGGCCAAAACTGAGCAAAGCTTCGGAGTGGCGGTGAGCCTTTTTTTTTTTTTTAACGACCGGCATTATTGTGGGCCGTCCTGGAACTGCCGTGAGGCATTACTTCAGGGCGGCCCATGCCATCTTAATAATTTACACCACCACGTTGCGAACCAGCCCGAAATTAATCAAGAGCTGATTCGCAAAGTGGTGTGGCCCCCTTCCGTTAACCGGATCCCAGAGTGGGAACCGTTAGGGAGGACTGCCAAAAAAACTCACAACACATAACATTAAACATAAAATACCTAAGGCGCTGGTTAAGGCCGACGCCTTAAGTCCTCCTGTGCCGGGCGGCGTGGCTGCCTGTGTCGCAGGCGTTCCGCTTCCTCCTTCTTTAATATGACTGATTCGACGAATGCCTGGACGAGCCTCCACGCCTCCCAGCTCCTCAACATCAGGTCCACCAACGACCCGACTTGGAACGTGGACCCTAGTCGAGATTCCAAAGAGTCCCGCTCCGGGGCCCACGCCTCGCACCGGAAGATTTTTTGGGGATATCCCCAATTTACGAGGAACGAGAAATTTTTTCTATTTTTATTGGTAATTTCTTTAACTAGATACGATTTGTGATCTTTTGAAGTATTGTTGAAAGAAATCGGTTCAGTGAGAGCCGAGAAAAAGTGGCAACAGATACAAAAAAAACACACCATAGTAAAATTAATACTTTCGCAGCTTCGCATCGAAGCTAAAAAAAATTATTTTTGTTTTCAAAAACCTTCAGGAAGTCTATGATAAAAATTTCTGAACTATAGCCGCACATTAGGTGATTTCACATGGAATGACCCATACGAAAGTATGTTTTATTAATTGTTATTTTGAAGCATAACAAAGTATATTACAGAAAGTACT